TGACCAAGAATATGATATATCTTCCTCTTCACAGTTCAAACACATCATTTTAAATGATGTCAGATATGAGGAACTGATAATCTTACCGCAATTCAATATACATCTGTTAAGAAAAATAAACATGATATATAATCAGTAAGCAAGACAGCGTAGGCCATTAAGATCTGGCAAAATACAGTATAGTACACTACATGGTACACTTACACCCCTCTAGCATTGGAAAGTAGCATCGTGAACAATTTGAATTATTTCGCAATCACCACGTTCTTCCCCGTATACTACGCGTCATACCTTGCCAGAATCCCCACTATAAACATGTATTTATTGTTCTCAAAAATCAAACACATCGGCGTGCGCTACGCGTTTCAATGGAATATGAAACAGTAAATTACAAGTTATAATGGAAATCGAATACGAAGTCGCGTGTTTTTGTCAGTAAACATATAACGAGAATTGTTGGGAATTGTCTTTTTTAGTTTTCTACTGAACGCGAGCAGTTTGTCAGCGGATGGGATGGGGAAATGAAATTAACATTACGTTGAAATTTCTTTTTTACAAATGAGCTGAGCCATCAATTTTAAATCCAGGCCGCAATACTGTTACTAGTACTGCTGTTACTGACCTACTGACATGACGTTGAAACGGCTAACATCAGGTATGGCAATGGTTACATTTGGCATAAGATTAACCAAATTAGTCATATTTAATATAGGAGTGAATACATTAAAATTGTCTCTATTATATAATGCATATGAAGCAATGCAGATAACATTCATGTGATATATCACATGATGCTTTTACGATAGTCATTCATTTAGGCGAATATGTAAAATTGGAGGTGAACTGTTTACATCTTGTTTATGTTTTCCCATAATTTGCAATTTAAACAAATATTCCAGATATGAATATACCAACAATCAAATTAAGAGCAATTTTATTGCAAAGCTACATAGCCCAGTGAACATTGTTTGTACCTTTGGCATCGGATTTGGTTGATTTTTTGACTTGAATATCAACCAATTAATACAATGATGTCATTTGTTTGACATTAAAATGTTCTTCCCCGAAATCAACTTAGCTTGACAACTTGGAACATATAATGTCTAATATAACTAAAAATATCGCGTAACAAAAATCTTAAATGGATTTTGACTGCTGGACTTAATGGTAATCATGAAACACTGATTCAACACTCGGTCTATTTATTAGTAATTGTTTGTTTTTTCACAAATTACATAACATTACGTTTTTACAGAGTAATTGTAACTTTACTTTATTTGTTTAAAATAATTTAAGGGGTGATTCGTCTGCCTATAATTGTTAATAACAAGTTTGTATGGTTAAATTTCTTTCATTTCAATTCAGTTAGTGGTTCTTGAGATATCAGTAGAACAAATTTTTCACAAACACACATGGCGGACATGCGGATGAACAGATCGTAGAGTACGACACGAAATTACCTCTCGTTATTGTTTTGCACACACAAGAGCTATGCAAGTTTCAAGCTGATGATATAATGAAATTAATGCAGTAAACTAATCCTTAAATAGTGTTTTATCGGTATTTTAAATGTTTAACTGATCTTAGACACATGAGGCATGAATTGAAGTGATTTGAGAAATGCTACTCACTTGATTTGAATACTTGGTTGAATTGATTCGATAATGAAAACCTCCTGTTCGAAATACTTTTCCACATTTTCATCTGTTGTTAAAATTAAGTGGAAAATATATCGTCCAACATTCAATACTTCCTCCATAATAGTCACTACACGGTTATCTTCAGTTATGATATACATATTTGAAGTTAGATTACATGCTTCAAAATAAACTGTAAATTCAGAATCATGAGGGCGACATCTCCACACCAAATTTATTTCTTCAGTGTCAGCTTCCGGGTCATATGATTTTGAACCATCAAGTATAAGTGGTACTTGTCCTGAGGACGTCCGCATGTCACCACCTTCTATTTCAACGATTGGTGGTGCCCTTAATATATCGATGTATACTGTGTCATTTCCTGGGTCGACTAGTGGTATGTCAAGGTCAACAGTTAACGAAATACTAATTAGACCATAATTGAAGAATTTCGGAGGGAATGTGATCGTATATCTCGTTGATTGTTCAATGTCAATATCATAATTCCCCTCTTTCTCAATTCTGGTTACATTCCATGTAAACGTTGCTTCAGTATTGTTATCGCGACAAGAATAAGTAACAAGGCTTGTGACATCAATTTGACTGGAGCGATACTCTTGTCTAGGAGCTAATCTTGACTTTCCTAGGCCATTGATCCACACCTGTGGTTTATCACATAATGTGTAAATATTTAACCAATGAGTGGCATTTAGTATTCCGTTCTCATTCACTGCTATTATAGTGAT